GCCTTAGCCACTTGAGCCACAGGTGCCGAGCCGGCTGAACGAATTTTATAAAGTGAAGATCAGGATGCTGGGCCTAGAGGCAGAACATGGCCTATGACCTGGCTCTCAGCCTGTGGTCTCTACCTCTCAGAGAGGCTGTCTCAGTTCCTGACTTTTTTTTTTGAGACAGAGTTTTATTATGTTGCCTTTGGTAGAGTGCCGTGGTGTAACTGCTCACAGCAACCTCAAACTCTTGGGTTTAAGCAATTCTCTTGCCTCAGCTTCCCAAGTAGCTGGGACTACAACAACACAGTCTAGAGTTGCCTGATTTCAAACCTGGTAAAATGAAATCAGAGCACACCCCTTTTGCATTTCCCTCTGGCCAGGGCTGCAGGGCATCTCTTGCACACAATTAGACTGCAGCAGTGTGCCCGTCAGTGAACCTGTGCCCTGTCTCCCATATCTGAGTCAATGTTCCCTGCAAGCATTCAGGCTGCTTTGGTCTTCTGTTGTATGTGAACTCTTACCCACTTGGCTCTGACCAAGCCATAAAGGGAAATTACCAGGTCAAAGAATAACATATACAGGGCCACAGTGCAACCAACCCTCAACACCTGCTGTGCCCACGGGATGGAGGCACCTCCCAAAGGCCCGTGTGCGTCTGCACAGCCCGCAGCTCAGACAGGCATCCTAACCTGTCTACGGTTTCCTGGAACACAAGTGCACATGAGCTCCTGAGGACCATGGCCTTCTCGTCTTCTGCTGTCAGCTCCTTGCTCAGCACCCAGCCTGCCGCAAGCACAACCCTGGCACTGAGAGCGCAGAGAGCCACACCAGGACCAGGCTGCACTGCACTGGGCCTCGGCAACTTGCAGTTCTCCACAAGTCCTGGAGAGGCTATGGCTAGACACGATGAAAACAGTGTGGCCACATGAAGGTTTGGGCATTGTTCAAAGATCATAGAACATTTACCTTTGGGCTGTCTCCTCCAGAAGCTTCCTTTTCATGTTCTGGCTGCGAGTTTTCGGCCATTAAATTGAGGTCAGATGGCATCACTCGGCCCATTTTGTACCCTGAAGACCCTGCTCCCCGGGGGCTAGATGGGCAGGAGTTGGCAGCACTGTGGGGACAAGAGGCTGTCCATCAGTCTGTCACAGAACATACATCGTACTGCATGGCAACACGAGCTATGATTTCAGGGAAAACAAATTCAACAATTTTAAAACAGAGTATCAGGCTCAGTACCTGTATGTAGCATAGTGGTTATGGCGCCAGCCACACACACTGAGGTGGCGGGTTTGAACCTGGCCCTGGCCAGCAGCTAAACAACTGCAACAAAAAAAATAGCTGGTGTTGTGGCAGATGCCTGTAGTCCCAGCTACTTGGGAGGCTGAGGCAAGAGAACTGCTTAAGCCTAAGACTTCAAGGTTGCTGTGAGCTGCGATGCCATAGCACTCTATAGAGGATGACATACTGAGACTCTGTCTCAAAAAAAAAAGAGTATTTCCTAAGGAAAAAATAGGCTTACCAGGTCTCTGAGATTTCAGATCACTCTAAGAGGCAATGTGGACACAGGATATCTATATCCACACATGTCATCTCATGACAAACTCTCAGGAAGCCAGCAGCCCACTCATCCCACCAGTGAGGAAACTGAGGCTTTAAATGTTCCAGAATATACCAAAGTCACAAAACAACACACTGCAGGTCCAGGGCTTGAGTGTGGCAGAGAGGCACAGAGCACATGGAGCTCTCAGAGAACAGAGAAGCTAGATAGGCTATGGTGGAAGGCAGGAGGACAGCCAGCTAAGAACATCTGAGTCAAAGTGGAGGGTCTGTTCTGCCTTAAGACAGCAGCCATGGACACCAACACTGGCTGTGATCCCAAGGCCCAGAAGCACATGGTGGGCCAGTTAGCAAACACGCAGAGCGCAGAAACAGACACCAGCTCTGAAATAGGCAGGCACTCCCCTACCTGGGAGGTCGCTTTGACAACTGGATCTGGGTACTGAATGCACCTCTGCTAGCTTAGGGACTGTGTGTTTGGTTTATCCTGCAGGCCCTGCACAGAACACTTCAATTAAAAAGAATGAACCACTGACATCAAGATAAGATTATTTTAAAAATCCAGTAAGTTATAGAGATGTTTGGTGAGGGGATAAAAGAAATATTCCAAATATATAGAGAATTATTGGAAAAAACCAAGAAGCCTAACAGGAGTGAGCTCTGAGAAACAGAAACAGAAAGAAGGCCAGGGAGGTGTAGAGGGAGGGGACCATATCCCCAGCCCTGTGGCCCCACAGGGCTTCTGAGACGTGCCATGACCGTGCCCAGAATGCACTCACCCACCCGCCAAACAAGCGTTCACTGGATGCCAGTGAAGGATACTTAAAGTACTGGGGAGGGAACAGGAACAAGAAAGACCAGAGTGAAACCAGAAAAAAAACCTTATTGCCAAGGCAATTCTTAGTAATAAAAAAAAAAGCCGAGGACACCATCCTATCAGACTTCAGGCTATACTACAAGGTCACAATGATCAAAACAGCATGTTTATTGGCACAAAAATAAAGATATAGACATTTGGACCAAACAGAAAACCATGAGATGAAACTAATATATTACAGCCACCTGATCTTTGATAAACCAAACAAGAACATACAGTGGGAATCCCTATTCAACAAATGGTGCTGGGAGAATCGGATATCTACATGTAAAAGACTGAAACTGGAACCATACCTTTCACGACTTACAAAAAATGACTCAAGATGGATAAAAGATTCAAATCTAAGGCATGAAACAATAAAAATTCCCAAAGAAAGTGTGCGGAAAAACACTTGAATTATATAGCCTGGGGAAAGATTTTATGAAGACGACTTCTGTGGCAACTGCAACAATAACAAAAACAAATAAATGGGACCTAATTAAACTGAAAAGCTTCTGTACAACTAAGAAGACAATAACCAAAGCAAACAGAGAACATTCAGAATGGGAAAAGATATTTGGATATTATGAATCAGCCAAAGGCTTGATAAATAGGATCTACAGAGAACTCAAATTAATAAACAAAAAGGACTCAACAATCCCATAGATCACTAGGCAAGAGAAATAAACAGAACCTTCTCTAAGGAAGACAGACGAATGGTTAACAAATATATGAAAAAATGCTCATGGTCCCAAATCATCAGAGAAATGCAAATCAAAAATACCCTGAGATATCACCTAACCCCATTAAGATTAGCACACATTGGGTGGCGCCTGTGGCTCAAAGAGTAGGGTGCCGGCCCCATATGCTGGAGGTGGCGGGTTCAAACCCAGCCCCAGCCAAAAACTGCAAAAAAAAAAAAAAAAGATTAGCACACATCACAAAGTCCTAAAGCTGCAGATGCTGGCACGAATGTAGAGAGAAGGGAACACTTTTACATTGTCAGTGGGACTACAAACTCATACAGCCTCATGGAAGGAAGTATAGAGAATCCTCTAAGAGGATTAAATTAGATCTCTCATTTGACCCCACAATCCCACTACTAGGCATCTACCCAGAAGGAAAAAAAAATTCATTTTACCATAAGGACATTTGCACTAGATTGTTTACTGAAGCTCAATTTACAATTGCCAGGACGTGGAAACAACCTAAATGCCCATCAATCTAGGAATGGATCAACAAACTGTGGATCCATTGTATACCATGTGGATCCATATGTATACCATGGAATACTATTCAGCCATTACAAAAGATGGAGACTTGGCTTGGCACCTGTAGCTCAGTGGTTACGGTGCCAGCCACATATACCAAAGTTGGTGGGTTCAAACCCAGCCCAGAGCAGCTAAACAACGACAACTGCAACAGAAAATAGCCAGGGGTTGTGGCAGGCGCCTGCAGTCCCAGCTATTTGGGAGGCTGAGCAAGAGACTTGCTTGAGCTCCAGAGTTTGAGGTTGCTATGAGCTGTGACACCATGGCACTCTACCGAGGGTGACATAATAACATTATCTTAAAAAAACAAACAAAATAAAAAAAAAGATGGAGACTTTACATCTTTTGTATTAACCTGAATGGAGTTGAAACACATTCTTCTTAGTAAAGTATCACAAGAATGGAGAAGCAATTATCCAATGTACTCAATTCTAATATGAAGCCAGTAGATGACTCAATACATGCTCCAAAAGGAGAAAAACTCATTTCAATTCAAGTTAGGGGGAGGTGATGAGGGAGGGAGAGGGGGCTAAAGTGCTCTCACTGAGTGGGCATGGGGTGGGATGGGCTTGGTACATCTATTTTGTGTGGGACATAACCAGAAGATTAACTCAATTAAATCAAATATTTTGACCTGGTTGCTTGTACCTTCACATTAACCTGAAATAAATTTACTTTAAAAAAAAAAAAAAAGAAAGAAAAGACTATGACCATAGTACTCTGGGAGGCCGAAGAAGGTGGACTGCCTGATCGCAAGAGTTTGACACCAGTGTGAGCAAGAGCAAGACCCCATCTCTACTAAAAACAGAAACACTGCCTAGGTGTGGTGGCAGGCACCTGTAGTCCCAGTTACTTGGGAGGCTGAGGCAAGAGGATTGCTTAAGCCCAGTAGCTTTAAATTGCTATGAGCTTCAAAGGCACAGAACTCTACCCATGGTGACAGCTTGAGGCCCTGTCTCACAAAAAAAAAAAAAGAAGAAAAAGAAAAGACTCAGGGCTACATGTCAACTTTTTTTTTTTTTTTTGAGACAGAGTCTCACTCTGTTCAGCCCAGCTTAGAGTGCAGTGGCCTCAGCCTACCTCTCAGAAACTTCAAACTCCTGGCCAAAGCAATCCTCTGACCTTAGCCTCCCGAGTAGCTCGGACTACAAGCACCCACCACCAACCCTAGCAAATTTTTCAATTTTTAGTAGAGACGGCGGTCTCACTCTTGCTCAGGCTTGTCTTGAATTCCTGACCTCAGGGGACCCTCTCACCTCGACGTCCCAGAGTGCCAGGATTACAGGTGTGAGCCAACCATGCCCAACCAAAAAACTAGGCAACTTTCAAGAAGTTTTGAGCAGCGCCTGTGGTTCAGTGGGTAGGGCGCTGCCCCCATATACCGAGGGTGGCAGGTTCAAACCTGGCAACAAAACTGCAACAAAAAAATAGCTGGGCATTGTGGCAGGCACCTATAGTCCCAGCTACTCGGGAGGCTCAGGCAAGAGAATCGCCTAAGCCCAGGAGTTGGAGGTTGCTGTGAGCTGTGTGACGCCATGGCCCTCTTCTGAGGGTGATAAAGTGAGACTCTGTCTCTACCAAAAAAAAAAAAAGAAGAAGAAGAAGAAGTTTACGATGCAGGACAGTGTGGACTTGGGAAAGGTAAGTGACCTGGTGACTGGACGGCAGATTTGGAAAGGTAGACTTAGTCCATCCTCCAACCAGTGCCCCATCTCCCTGCAGGTCAGTCCTACTTGGTCTGGGGTTCCCAAGGCTGTTGCCTGGTGGAGCTGTATCTGACAGAGGGGGATGTGGGCTTCTCCTCCACCTGAGCACATTCTGCATACTTTTTACAAAGGGCTTAACACCTGGCAATGGGACTTCTTGACTTTTGCCTACCCACTGACATATTTACTTCAGTCCACTTAGTCATGTAAAGACAAATTCAACCAAAGTAGGAAACAGAGAAAGACCTTCTTCAGTAAAGTAGCCATGGGAGATGGAGGATAAAATGGGGCCTGACACCAACAGCAGCTGCCCCTACACAGCACCCAGTGTAGGACAGTGGCTGGAGTTTACCTAGTGACTCCTTCCATTTAATAAAAAAATAAATGCACTGAAGACACTTTTCCAGAATGCCAGTTTTTTTCAATTTTTTTTATACATAATAAAAAATTTACCATTTAAGCGATTTTTCAATGTACATTTGAGAGGCACTGAGCACATTCACATGCTGTGTAGACATCACCCCCATCCATCTCC